GAGCTAAGAACTGTTGCTAATCTTTTTTTTTTCCTCTGCTTTATCTCCCCAAATCCCCCCCGTACATAGTTGTATATCCTAGCTTCAGGTCCTCCTAGTTGTGGCATGTGGGACGCTGCCTCAACGTGGCCTGACGAGCGGTGCCATGTCCACGCCCAGGATCCGAACCGGGGAAACCCTGGGCCGCCACAGCAGAGCGCCCAAACTTAACCACTCGGCCACAGGGCTGTCCCCACTCCACCACATTCTTATGAGTCATGCAGAATAAACTGCTTTTCCCCTGAAACCATGAAAATAGAACTATTATCTAATTAGAAATGAGCAGGGAGATATAATGAGAAGACAGGGAGCTACAGAGTAAAGTGCTAATATCACAACCACGTTTTTAAAACAAATTCAAGGAGACAAACCAACAGTTTGAACTGTCATTTAAAAGGCAAAATACATTTTGAAGTTTGAAGCTTGGTAACTTCGCACGCTGAATTCTGTGGCACGTCAGAGCTACGAGGGGAGTGCGGTCTTCTTCGTAAGGTGAAACAGTAGCTTACAGGATAAAGTTTTTGCCTTACGAAATGCCCTACTAAATTTGCCCATAGGTTGGATGACTGACAGCTTTTCAACAAGCTGATTTTAAGTTTAAAATGAAAAGTATGATGAGTAAGGAGTCAACATACACTACCACAAATAGCAGCAACTAAAGACATAGTATCAAGACAAAGTAGACATTCATTCTCTCCTTAGTAAAAATGCACCACGCGAAAGCAGGGCATAAATCCCATGTGTATCCGCATACATATTCTCACCTGGAGAGATGTGTTTTATACACAACCAGGGGAATATGTACGACGTTGGGCCAAATGCTCAGTTCAAACTCCAAACCTTTTTGATAACAAGAAGCAACTGACTAGTCTTCCTCTCTGAAAGGGAAGAAAGCTTATAAGGTTTAAGGCAAGATGATTAACTTCCTGGAAGTCAACATCTCTTCCCCAATATTAATTGTTAATCAAGTCAGGAAAACAGAATACGAAACACCCGGTTCACATTTCCCTTAAACATGCAAATATTTTAAAACAAGTATTTAAAATAGAATGGGAAATTCATTTTGAGTCTGGTTAATACCCAAAGTTTTGGGAGAAAGTATTTTAAGAAATCTATTAATATAAAATGGAACCAAAAGAGGGAAAGTAACAGTGAAAAAGGAAATAGAAAAATCCCTTGTCTGAGATGATCAGGTTCTACTGAGATGGGTTAAATATTTTCTCAGAGCAATTTCCATTAAAGTGGGGTTTTTGGTTTCTTTTGAACACATAATATATGTAGGTGATAATAAATTCAAACAGAAAAAGAGTCTTTCTAAATAGAAAAATAGTCTTCCTCTCACCACTACCTCCAGGCTCCAGTTCTAGCCAGGAGGCAAGCACTCCAACCAGTTTCTGGCATATCTTATATATCCCTCCTGAGGTGATCCAGGCACATACAATCACATATATTCCCCTCCTATTTTATTCCAGTGGGAAAATACTGTATTTACTATTCCCCCTTGCTTTTATCCCCACTTAAAAATATTATCTTAGGGGCCGGCCCAGTGGTGCAGCGGTTAAATTCGCACGTTCCGCTTCGGCGGCCTGGGGTCCACCAGTTCGGATCCCGGGTGTGGACAAGGCACCGCTTGGCAAACCATGTTGTGGTAGGGGTCCCACATATAAAGTGGAGGAAGATGGGCATGAATGTTAACTCAGGGCCAGTCTTCCTCAACAAAAAGAGGAGGATTGCCAGCAGATGTTAGCTCAGGGCTAATCTTCCTCAAAAAAAAAAACAAAACAAAAAAAATCCTATCTTAGATGGCCTAAAAAAATGTATCTTTTATGGCCTAAAATTTAAGGTATCAGTGTGAACTCTATGATTTCTAGAATAAAAACATATGTTCATATATAGTATACACATACGTCTATGTATGTATATATGTGTACATAAGGTGTGCATATATAATTACCAGTGTGCATGTAGATGTGTATATATAGATATATACACAGACTTTGCTGAAAGGGGCTAGAGGTAAAGACGCCTAAGTGGGAACAGCACACCTAGCATCCAGATCCTGGTCTAATTCACCACCCAAAGGAATCAGGGCTCCTCAGAGAAATAGCTACCTACAGGGCTGGATTAGGGTACGTATGAGATGAGCCTGAAACATCATATTAGGCCAGAAAGTAAGGAAGCACTGAAAAAAAAAAAGTCACAGGGACATAGGAGCCGGCTTAAAGGGGCTCCAACTGGCCAAATCTGGGACAATTTGGGCATCAAAATAATTAAGAACAGTAATGAATTATAAACCATTGAAAAAATAATAACAGACAAATAAATAAATAGGAGAGAAGAACATTCTAGTTTATAGTAGAATACCAACTTCTGTTTAGCAAATGCTGAGAGAATGTTGGAGTTGGAAAATCATTATTTTGCAACCAACACAATAAAGGTTGTTCCAGGCAAGAATTATCAATGGATATTAAATACAAAGAGACATTTTTGAGGAGCAGGATATTTGTATGGTCTTTAAGTGTCTCTCCAAAGATTTCCCTGCAAGGGAAAACATTATAATACATTTGAGAAATTGGACAATGCCTTGATCAGAGGACCACAATTAACATCACCAATGAGGGGCAGATGAACATGGTGTGTCTCCACATGTGACACCCTGAGAAGGAAATGACATCACTTAAGTATATTCCAGTTGGGAATGCATAACCCAAATTGAACCCTAAGAAACCATCATACAAGCCCCAAATGAGGTGTTGTTTTTTTTTAAGGGACTATATTATTCAAAAATACTAATGTCATAAAAGACAAAGAAAGGCTGTGGAAATGTTTTAGATTAGAGACTAAAGAGATATGACAACTAAATGCACTATCTGATCCTAGACTGGATCCTGTACGTACGCACACACATCTATTATGTATACGTAGAATACATGTATTTCTATATGTATATTTATCTCTTTCTATATATATATAGATGTAATACATATTATATATATGTAACATATACTATATATACATAATACATATTATACATATGTAACATATATATACTATATAGAGAGATAAATATACATATTATAATATATAATAGAGAGGAAGAATTGCATACATCTATAGAGGTGTATGATAATGTATAGAGAGAAGCAAATGAAGGTAAAATATTGACAATAAGTGAATGAATCTGGGTAAAGGGCATGGAATGTTCTTTGTACTATTCTCTTTTTTTTAAGATTTTATTTTTCCTTTTTCTCCCCAAAGCCCCCCAGTACATAGTTGTGTATTTTTAGTTGTGGGTCCTTCTAGTTGTGGCATGTGGGATGCCGCCTCAGCATGGCTTGATGAGCGGTGCCACGTCCGCACCCAGGGTTCGAACCGATGAAACCCTGGGCCGCCGAAGCGGAGAGCACAAACTCAAACACTCGGCCATGGGGCCGGCCCCCTGTACTATTCTTATTCTTTGAATTTTTCTGAGTATGAAATTATTTTCAACTAAAGAAAAAATAAAACCAAAATACATATTAGAAACTTTTCTATATCACGATAGATTTATCATTTATTTTTGTTTTTCATTTTTCAATTCAGATATAATTTACATCAATAGAATGTACAGATTTCAAAAGTATAGTTCGATTCATTTTTACAAATATATACACATGTAACACCATTGAATCAAGAGATAGAACATCTCCTCAGAAAGTTCCCTTCCAGTCGATCTCACTACCCCTCACCCCAACAGCAGCCACTGTTTTAATTTTCTATCATAGCTTAGTTTTGACTCTTCTCGAACTTTATATAAAAAGAATCGCAGAGAATATGCTCTTTAGTATCTAGCTTCTTTCTTTCAAGAGAATATTTTTGACGTGTGTCCATGTTGTTGCACACATCAGTACTTTACTCCTTTTTATTGCTTAATGTTATCCCATTATATGAATATGCCACAATTTCTTTATCCAGTCACCTCTTGATGGACATTCTTGTACAAGGCTTTTTGTGGACATGTGTTTTCATTTCTCTTGGATGGTAGGTGTATGTTTAACTTTATGAGAAACTGCCAACTGTTTCCATTGTGGCTGTACGATACCTTACCACTTTTGATGGCTGCAAAGTATTTCATTGATTGGGTAGACCATAGTTTATTTAACCAGTCCCCTCTCATTGGACATTGAGTTGTTGCCAATCACTTATTATGACAAACAATTTGGCAATGAATATCACTGTATATGCAGCTTTGTGCACGTGTGAGGAAGTATCTGTAGAATAATTTTTATAGGAAGGTCAAAGAGTGTGTACATTTTAATTTTTGATAAATACTGCCAATTAGTCCTTCACATTGATCAATACCAACTTTATTCCTATTCAGCAAAGTATGAAAGTGCCTGTTTCCCCCACATCTCTGTCAAAGTTATACGTAAAATTTTTAATTTTATCGCTTTAATTTGTTATGAGTATCACAGTGTTTGTTTTTATTTTTACTGTACTGTTGCTTATATTTATGTCACCCTCCTATTTTAGATCCTTATTTTCTTTCATCTGTGCCATTACAATTTCTCTTCCTCCTTCAATCTCTTTCTACAGTCTTGGACACCACCTTCAGAATTATATAACTCCAGTACCACTTTATCCAAGTCACTCCCCAACTCAAAACCTTCACTGGATCTCCATTGCCCTGAATAAAATCCAGACCCTTTATCCTTATCCTTAAAGAGCTGTTTCATGTTTCCTACCTTTTCTTCCAAAAGATTATCCCATATGTACTCCAACAAGAATCAGGCTTCCCCATGGACCTCACATAAAGTGTGTATTTCCTGCTTCCATGTCCTTACACATGCTATTCCCTCTGCCCAAATGCCCTCCTCTCCCTCTCTACCTCTGGAGTCCTATCATCCTTAGAAACCCAGCTCAAATGCCATCTTCTATACATGCCCTAACCAAACAGAGACAAGATGAAAGGTCACGCTTACCGGCACTTTCATTTTAAATTCATCTCGATAGTATTTGATGCCAATGTCAGTGAAAGTCCTCTGGAGAAAGCAAGATGGACGAAGGATGAATATGAGCTGCAAGTTTCCTGGGAATGCTACCTAGAAGGATCACAAAAAGCGTCAGGGCAAACGTCACATCCATTGGTCTCCTCTTGCCCAAGATCACAGATGACAAAGCTAAAGTGGACACCATGGATGCCAAAGAATTAGAATATATTTCATACAATTTCAGAGCTGAAAGAGATCCCAGAGGTCAGAAAACTCAAACTCCTCCTTAAAAACCAAACCAAACAAAAAAACTAAACAAACAAAAAATGTTACTGATTATAAAAATAATTCATACTCTCTATAGAAAAATTGAGAAACTAATAATAAAAGTACACATTAGAAAAAGAAAATCACCCATAATCTCATAGCCATTTTTAATATTTCAATCTAATTACTTACAGGCTATTTTCTCTGATTAAATATCTTTATCATGGTTAAATTCATACTATATAAATATTTTGTAACCTGCTTCTTCACTTAATATTATACCATGAGCTTTTATGATTTAAAATTTAAAATTCTTTGGAATTATTATTTTTCATGGGTGCACAATTTATTTTACCAACCCCTTATTGCTAGTGACTTAGGTTTTTCCATATTTTTACTATTATAAGTAACACTGAAATAAACATCTTTCTCCACGTTTTAGAACACTTTCTTAGAATAGCTTCCTAAAAGAATTACTGTCAAAGACTTAGTATTTTAAGGGTTCTTGATGCATATTATTGCCAGGTTGCTTTCAGGAAGCATGACCCTCATCTTGAGATAAGGTCCTGAGAAATGAGATAAGTAGATTCATATAACAACTTAGTGGCAAAGTTGGGAATCCAAGTCTCCCATTGCTCATGGCTTTCCATTCTTCCCATGGTTCCCAAAAGCAACTTCCTGATGTGCTTGCTAAAAAAAATAATCTTGTCTTTGCTGTGAAATATTCTGATTTATTAAGACTGGGATGAAGTCCACGTTTCTGTATTTTCGACAAGCACATAAAAAGATTCTGATTGGTAGCCAAGTTTTGAGATGCCCAAACTACAGTATCTTTTATGCATGAAGTGATCAACATAATTCTTGGACAAATTAGGCTCAGGCATCAAAATTATTCAACTATTGTCTATGGAGCCTGGGAAACCATAATTCTCCAGAGGCCAGTCCTCTGAAATAGTCATGGGCATTGTCAAGTGTCTAAACCCTCAGGGCATCAACTGTCATGGCAGTCATCCGAAAAATAAATCCTGTAACCAAAACTAAAGCAAAGGGACAAAACAATCCATGCACAAAGGGAAGGAGTCTTCGCTTCCCCCATCTTTGAAATGCAAGCTCCTAAACAGAAGAACTTCGCATTTTGTTATGCTATGACAGGACATGTGAGCTGAGACACTATTTGTGTATCTGGCTGAGGCTCTAAAATGATTGGAGAGAGACTCTGTGTGTGTGCATGTCTGTATGTGTGACTGCCTCTGTAAGTAGGCACAAGTGAGGCTTTAAATGTCTCTTTCCCATCGCAGCCTCCACACGCACTACCACCCCACCATATCCCATCCTCTTCAGCCAGTGCCAACTGCCCCAGGGAGCCTGTGCTTTGGTGGAAATGCTGGTGTGGCCAGCCCTGAGGTGTCTCTGCCCGCCCATGTGGCTGGGATCCCCAGTTTGAGGTCCCTGCAGAGAAAGGATACATCTACTTGCTGAAAGGCAACACACAGGGATCAAAATCAGAACAAGTAGATGGAAAAGGAAACCCATCCAAGATTGTTTGGATAACCTAATGTCAAAAGCAAGCACATAGCATATCATTTTGTCTGGTTTGCCAGTGTCCTTCTAATATGTGAAAAAACAATTTGCATACTGAAATGACTGTCTTACATTGGGTGACCCCCAAAGCAAACCCTAAGACAAGGATTTGGATATAAAGAGTTTATGGAGGAGGTATTTCCAGGAAACACAGAGAGGGAATGGAGGTGGGAGGGAGGCTGAGATAGTGAAGGCTAGAAAGCCAATGTACTAAGGAGAGAGGACTGATGTAGGCAAGAAGGGCTGAGACTCTCTGGGATGCTGTGTGGAACATAGCTCAGAATTGTCCCACTGAGGGGTGTGGAAGCTGGGGTATTTATCCACCAACTCCCACAACTCAATAGTTGCAGGTCACTCCTGGGGCATTAACTTCCCAGCACTCTCTACCTGCCCCTCTTCAGTGACCAGAGAGGTCAATAATGTAGGGAGACTCAGGAAGCCTTTGACACACTCAGGAATTGTCTGCAATGACCTTCAGGTGGCAGAGGGGATAGGGACGTGACACAACAGCCTCTGCTAGAAAGACCTCCCCAAAATTTGGCATAAAATATTTGCCTTTTCCCCATGACTCTGATATGAAATGATTGATTAGACTATTTAAATTACTTTTATAATAATAGGAGAAAAAGAAATATTTACAGCTATTCGTGTCAAAGAAGCTTTCACGGAGCTCCACTTGTCCCTTCGTCTGTCGATAACAATGATGAATCCGATGCTGGCAGCCTCCACACTGCAAAAAAGGGTGGTCAGGATCAGAGGTCAGGTGAGACACATGGGTTCTGGGTGGCTCCCTCAGCAGAACACATTCTGAGCCTCTGTGGCACTCCAGGCTCACGAGTAAACACGCTGCATGGCACAAGGGAATAACTGGGTCTGACTTTCCTAACAAAGGAACCAACTTCTTCTCCTCATCTCAGCCTGGTAGCCTTAACAAAACAGAAATACCTGGTGTCTCATATCCTCTCAAGGGCTCTGTTTATGGCTGGCAAATGTATGAAACACCCAAGGAGCAGACATGCTCAAACCTAAAGGAAGATGCACACATCAGTTGAGCATCACACATCCCAGTGCAGGCAGAGGACCTCAAGGTTGAGCTCTGCCATCTATCCACCCTGAAGACTAACATTCTTGGAGCTATCAATATGCTTCTCTAGGAGTGAGTCCTAGAAGTGTTCAGAAATAATATGTCCATGGAAAAACAACCCCCTTTCAGTGCCTAGTATAAACAGCCAACAAACCATATGCACAAGAAGATACCATCTTCATTAAGAACAAAAGGAAGCTGTTAAGTTCCCTTTAAGTCCCCACAAAATTCTCCCCAAATTCTTTTAAACTAACGTCCTAAAAGGGAAAATATTTTTTTCTCTCTCTCTTTGGGAGGAACTATGGTATAAAGGAAAGAGCAAAGGCTTTGGAATCTAGTTCAAATAGTGCTGCCACTTTCCGGCACTGAGATACTGGGGAGACCACCTAACTCTCTAGAGCTCAGTTTCCTTATCTGTAAAATGAGAACAATACCACCAATAGCGAAGTGGCTAAAAGCACAAATTCTGAAGCCAGTCTGCCTAGGTTTGAAACCTGTACTCTACCATTTATATATTGTGTATTTTAGGGCAAAATTTACTCAGCCTCTATAGTTTCTGAGACTCCTCATCTGTAAAGTAGGAACAATGATAGTACACAGTGAGGGCCTGCCTGGTGGTGCAGTGGTTCAGTTCCTGCGCTCTGCTTCAGTGGCCCCAGGATTCACTGGTTCAGACCCCAGGAAGAGGAATGCACCGCTTAGCAAGCCACGCTGTGGCAGGTGTCCCACAAACAAAGTAGAGGAAGATAGGCATGGTTGTTAGCTCAGGGCCAATCTTCCTCAAAAAATAAATAAATAAATAAAATTTTTTAAAACTAGTACATATCTACGGGGTTGGTGTGAGGATTAAGTGAGTATGTATGGTACAGATATATAAATTCCTCAGAAAAGTGCTGGCACTTGGTAACACTGTATAAGTATTATTATGATGATTTCTTATGTGCTTTTCATGGAGATTAAAGGAGAACAAGTACATAAAAAGTAGTTGGCTTATAGTAAACTTGAATAATTCTTTAATATTAGGTAAAAGGTGAGCTTTACCATAAAAAGTGTCTGTATGTGAATAAGACAAGTTCTAAGAAAACTTTTCATGAAAGCATAAGTAGCTGATGTGAAGTAAGCAATACTGGGCCAACCCATTATCCTAGTTCCACAATGACCCAGGGTCTCTCACTGGGGACATTTTCCAGACCAGGCCATAGTGCAAGGAGGGGTGATCTGACTGGGTAGAAGAGGAAGAGATTGGAGATTGTAAATGCAAAAGTGGCCAGGATTTGAGCGGAGTGGCTGTCAAGAAGGGAAGCCTCAGACAGTCCTCATGGAAATTCCCTTTTAAGGCTTAGCTAACTCCTGGGCCCCACAATTTTGGGTGAGACTCCAAGAGGCTGACCTACTCCAAGTGGCTACACATGTGATAACTAATGAGAAATTATGAAGCTTGCCTCATTCTGGGGAGAGACAACTGGTGTTTTGGCCCAGCCAGAGTAGACAGACTTTGATGAATACCCTGGGCATTCAGGTGAAACTCTATACTTAGGTGGAAAGGCCATGCTCTAGGATAAATGAAACACCATAGGACTTGTTATAGGATTAAGGCTACACTCTAGGACGAAGGACAAAATGGAAATGGACTTGCCCTAAGAAAATCTAAAACCAGGCCTCAAAAAGAGCAAGGCACTCTACCAGTAATTTAACTGCCTGTCAGATCAAAACTTAATACTGTTTGTAAGTAGATAAGCCTCTACAAAATATCATCTATGATATCCAGCATAAAGTTAAAAATTAATAGAAATGCAAAGAGGAGTGACATCAGCATCATGGCAGAGTGAACTTGCCCAGGACTCTCTCCCCTCCAACATACAACAAAACGGAGCAACCATATTCCAAAAGAAAATATCCTAAAAGCACAAAAACCTTGCAGAGACACGCAGCCACATGACGGAGGTTGGAGAGGCTGGAGCCCCCCTCGGAGGAGCTGGAACATGGTAAGAGAGAATTTTGCTTCCTCTCCTAAAGACTGCAGTCACTGCCATGGGAGGCTCTGAGAGGGAAGGAGTGGGAGAGGGGTCGCATATCTGTGGGATCACCAAGGACTCCCTAAGGCCCTAGCAGCCTAGAGGGAAGCCCTCTAACAGGGCGAAAGCTTTTGCGTGGTGTGGCCTGATCAAGCCAAGACTCCAGGAGACCAGATAGCGAGAGCTGATCAGGAAACCTGGGACTGCACGCAGGAGAAAGCGCCACCCCCCAACCCAGATGGCGCCATCTTGGCTGAAGGCAGAGGGCTCAAAACACATGGCTTTCAACCCCCACCCAGTAGCGATAGGCTGTAACTACAACCGAATAATATCAGAATGGGAAAGACCCGTCCTTCTACCATGAAGCAATTCATCAAATCTCCAGACTAGAGAGAAAACAACAAGCACCCAGAACTCAATCCTGAGGACACAGAAATATGTAAACTAAACAATTAAATCAAAATAGCTATCATCAAAAAACTCAATTAGGTAAAAGAGATTATAGAGAAACAATTCAATGAGTTCAGGAGTTACTTCACAAAAGAGATTGAAACTATTAAGAAGAATCAATCAGAAATATTAGAGATGAAAGACACAATGGAAGAGATAAAACAAAATATGGATTCCCTGAATGCTTGTGTGGACATCATAGAGGAATGAATTAGCATAATCGAAGATAGACATGTTGAAATGCTCCAGACAGAGGACAAGAGAGAACTAAGACTAAAAAGAAATGAAGAAAGTCTCTGAGAAATATCTGACTCAATGAGGAAATGTAACATAAGAATTATAGGTATTCAAGAAGGTAAAGAGAAAGAGAATGGAGAAGAAAGCACATTCAAAGAAATAATATCAGAGAATCTAGGGAATGAGAGGGAAATATGTGTGGAGGAAACTTCCAGATCTCCTAGATTTGTTAATGTAAAAAGACCTACTGCAAGGCATATAGTAGTAAAACTGGCAAAAATGAATGACAAAGAAAGAATACTAAGGGCAGCAAGGCAGAAGAAAATAACCTACAAAGGAACTCCTATCAGATTTTCAGCAGATTTCTCTGCAGAAACCTTACAAGCTAGGAGAGAATGGAATGACATATTCAAAATTTTAAAACATAAAAATCTTCAGCCAAGAATATTGTATACAACAAAAATATCCTTCAGATATGAAGGAGAAGTTAAATCTTTCCTAGACAAACAAAAGCTAAGGCACTTCGTAGCCATGAGACCCCCCCCACTACAAGAAATCCCCAAGAAGGCCCTCATACCCGAAAAAAGAAAAAAAGGGCAAAAGGGGTCACAAAACACAAAGTAAGGAGACAAATAGGTAGACAGAATCAGAATGGGATAGCAAACATTCAACTACAGCATTAGGCTAAAGGGAAAGACAACACCAGAAACAAAGACAATCTTGACACTTTAACCACAAAGTCATAACACAAGTTGAAATAAGACATGAGAAAAATAACTTAGGAGGGGAGGAGGAAAGGGACTGAATCAGTTTAGACTAAGGAAATAAGAGGCCATCAGAAAATGGACTATCTTACATACAAGATTCTTGTCTTTTCTTTTAAAGATTTTATTTTTCCTTTTTTCTCCCCAAAGCCCCCCAGTATATAGTTGTGTATTTTGAGTTGTGGGTCCTTCTAGTTGTGGCATGTGGTATGCCACCTCAGCATGGCCTGATGAGCAGTACCATGTCAGCACCCAGGATTCGAACTGGCAAAACCCTGGGCTGCCGCAGCAGAGTGCATGAACTTAACCACTTGGCCACAAAGCCACCCCTACACTACTCCACTTAAAAGGAAAATAGTGTCAGAGTGAAAACACTGATTACAAGAGACAGTGATTACACTTTAACCATAAGGACAGAGATAGATTGAAAGAAAAAGGACAGTAAAGCATATACCATCCAATCACTAATCATAAGAAAGCCAGTGTGGCTATATTAATACTAGAAAAAGTAGTGTTCAAGACAAGGAGCATTGCCAGAGATAAATGATTTATAAAGACAAGAGGGTCAGTTTATCAGGAAGACATAACTATCCTAAACATGTACGTATGCAGTAACATTGCTTCAAAATACATTAATCAAAAAGTGACAGAACTAAAAGAAAAATAGATAAATCCTCAATCAAAGTTAGAGATTTTAACACTTCTCTCTTAGTAACTGATAGAACAAGCAGCCAAAAAATCAGTAAGGATACAGAACCTGACTTGGAAGATTCAACATCCAAGAACTGCAGAACACACATTCCTTTCAAATGCACATGGGACATTTATCAAAACAGTCCATTACCCTAGGCCATAGAGTAAATCTCAACAAATTTTAAAGAACTGCAATCATACAGGGTGTATTTCTGATCACTGAGGAATTAAATTGCAACTCGATTATTCTTCCATTTTCTGATTCATTTCTCTTTTTTTTGTTTATAATTTCCTTCAGGTTTAATTGCCATTCTCTTTTTTTAACTTCTTAAGGTGGAATGTTAGATGATTGATTTAAAACGTTTTCTCTCTTTTAATACAAGTATTTAAATCTACAATTTCCTCCTAAACACTGCTGTAGCTACTTCGCATAAATGTTGATATATTGTTTTTGTTATTGTTCAGCTAAAAATGTTTTCTAATTTCC